ATTTATCCTTGCCTTCAGCGCTGCAGTCCTGACATTGATGTCCTATGATGTTTACAGTCGTTACTTTCTTTATTATTTGTGAATGGAAAAGCACATATATACCAAATGTAATAAATATGCAACATCGCCATGAATTGATTGCCGAAACATTGTTATTTCTATGGCAAAGATGGTAAGGCTGAACTACCAAGAATTTTTCTTGCTATGGATTATTTATGCAATTACTAATAAACCATGAAATAACCATTGTGTCGCTACAGTATTTTCGTTGGTGATAGTCCTTTGGCGTTGTGAAATCAGCAGTTACCAGTCATTCACAAATTACAGCTGTTATCTCATAGGTTTGACATAATGTAGTCATCCAATGTGGTACCTTGTGTTATGGCACAGGTCAACAATGCCATCGTAGTACTAATCGGCCCTTCTACGTGGCATGGCATAATCAACAATGGTACGGTTTTTGCTCCAATCCCTGCTGTTTTCACAATAAATTCCATCATGAAAACTTGGGTCAAGCATGCATTCTTGCATTAACTGCGCATCTGACATACCAGTAACCAAAAATGCATGATATCATACACAAATCACTTTAAGCAAAGCACGCAATGCTGCAGCAGCAAAGCACACGAAGCACACAACACATGCTGCAGCCATCAGGCTGCCTCACTACAAAATGTCATCCAAGAAACCAGCAGCAATACTTCTCCACCTATCTCAGCATCCACCATCCCACATAAGTTGTAGTGACTTTGACAATGATGACTCACAAGCAACGCGTGCCTGCATACAAAATTTGTAAGAGCAGTATTTTAAAAATGAAAATGCTATAACAAAAATAAAAATAAAATACAGCACTATATTTTCAGAGTTCTTAAGTGAGAGACAATTTTGCAAAGCTGCATTATGTCAGCTTATACCAATCATGCACATAAGCGAGCTGCGCTGACCTGTCGCTCCTGCCTAAATTAATTGCTAACATAATGGCATGCAATGGATCAAATACATGCTGTAATTCCTCAATAGGTTCAAAATGTTGGCAAGATCATACTGAATTACTAACTATAGAATCGTACTAGATCAATTTCAAAAAATCAATTTTCAAAAAATCAGTTACTAGACTCAAGAATCATACTAACTTGCCTTTTTGAACACCCCTGCAGCGCGGATGCTACTGTTTCTTTCAGTTTGCCGACTACCACTACCTTGTCATGCCCAAACGCAAACTCAAAGATAGAGGCATGTATCGATGCATCACATTTTTATGGGAGTCGATAGATTTAAAGAATCCCAAAACAGTGTTCTCTCCTCAGAAGCACAAACCTCGTATGCACACTCCCCATCACATCAAGATCAGTACTAAGCTACTGGCACGCACCACCAGTGATCACGCCCATTTCAAGCGCCTGATTCACACTCTATGTCAAATAAGTGTGATCCTACACTTGCACAACCGCGGAGCTATCAAATTGCAGTCTTTCTCATTTTCGGTTTATACCACCGCATTTCACCGTGAACTCCTCCAAAACAAAGTCCCAACGGGAGTTCAAGGTAAAACAACTCAAAGGTTATACATATAGGACATAATTTTTTTAAAATATTTAAATTGGCCCACAGTACGTCCTAAATATTTTGTACAAAGATGTGTAAAATTAGTGTAATTTTCCTTAATTTTATAATGCCTCGCGAACCCATAAACCAGTGCAAGGTTCTTTGCTTCCGCACAGAAGGCGTCAAGAAAAAATGCAGATTTGCCGTCGCGTCTTTTTTAAATATTCGGAGAGAGTGCCGTCCTTTTTCGGTTCTGTACTTTTTTGCAGATATTGGCGTTCTCCGTTTATAACGTTAACCTATGACCTAGAAGAAAGGAAAAGTGCCCCGTTGACGACGAGTGGCGCACAACCCGAAAGTGCTTACGCTAACGTTCGCGACACACATTCAGCAGCGAAATCTTGTTAACAACCGATCGCCTTACGCAGATTGTATCATACGTGCCGCATCACCGCTCTTGCGAATGTGTCAGCGGCCATGCTGTTTTGACCATAAGCAGAAACAGCCTGTAATATAAAGGCAATCGTATGACGTTTCTATGACGACATCAATGAAAAGGTGACTTTGAAGTAGTCCCCAATAAACCTTTTCGCACTTCTGCAGACGTATAACTCAGCAACCGGTGGGTTTTGGGTCTTAAAAAGGCATGGCCGTGAACTGCATCAAAAGGTCCTCGAGGTATCTATTTTAATTCAAGACCCCATGTAAAGGTGGAACATTTCCTTTTGAAGGAATGTTCTTCATTTGAAGATATTGCAACAAACATGAGATATAGTAATATAAACTCACATATAGCTATCATTTAAGAATTTAATCAAACTTTTAAAATGGATGAATTTTTAGACCAGAGCTCACGCTACGCAGTGTTTGTTGTATGAGCTCTGAACCCTGCCATGCGATTGCGCAATTCCGGCGGAACGTCAACATTTGCTGACGAAAGTTTAATGTGCGGCCCATGTTCGGCACGATCCGTTCAGCCCACTGTCGTTAACTGACCTTAAGTGCGGCCGCTTCCACCTGCCGCAGACCATACCCTGTCAACCGCAAATAGCGAGCGCCTATAGCGGCTTGAACCCACCCCGTCACGGGTGGGTGGATCGGAACGCACGCGCTCTAACGAACTGAGCCACCGGGACGGCTATTTCTTGGCATACGCAGGTCCAATCTACTGGTATATCTTCACGTGGAAAAGACTGTTCTAGACAACACACATTCTCAACTTCGGAAAATCGCTCTTCAATATGTCCTTTGACGGCGTCATCGCACCTTGCACACATTTGATCATTGATTGGGAACCAGTTGACGGTCGTTTTATCTGAGAATCGTGCTTACGAACACCAGGTATGAACGGCTAGTTAATAGCTATATAAATATAAATAACTATGTAATTATAGAATATAAATAATAACTAGCTAATAACATTCTTCTTGATCTTGACCTCCGTAGGCTAATGGAATGGCAGGATTTGAATGGCGTTATTATAGCGTACTAGCTGCCTTGGTGACCTTGAAACGAACCAGTCCGCACCTCTTTGTGGGCGTAAAGCTCAGGAACTAGAGAGGTTAGATCCCAAGGAGGTCGGGGTTGTGAAATACACCGGATGATCTTCAAGACAGCGATGTCAGTTCAAAAATCCTTCAACGGAACACAACACACGACAAGGTCGCTCCAGACCGGCGAGCAGGCTCCTTAGTTGCAGCCGGGGCCGCAGAGCCGGACCTTTTTTGCGGCAATAATACAGGCCTGATCCACCGGCTGAGCCGAGAGAGAAACCGGTTGCGGCAATCAAGTGGCCCTGGCTTCCGCACTTTTCTGTCCTGTGTTGTGTGCGTTGGTACCTGTTTATGCTAAATATAAGAACATGTTAACTAGCCGTGTTTCCCTTTGCTTGCCTTTACATCCGGACACATCCGTTTACGGTAACATAGCTTTTCTGTCCCTTGCTGTGCACTGGCTAGTGCAAAGCAAGCCGGCTTAACGGAGCTTTCTTCCTGGCCTTCGGCCAAAAGTAAGTTCCCCATCTCCAGCTATGACTTAAGGTCGTCGAGGTGGAAACAAAAAAGGTAACCTACGAGAAGCCAGCGCGTCGCCTTGGATACCGACATCACAACACCTCGCCGGGATGGTCGGAGCCGCCTGCGCCCTCAGTGTCGAGTCGGCAACCTTCGGCAGCACACCTCCGACGTTCGCGGGCAGCAGCAGCGCCGGCTACCCCACCCTCCGTCGCCGGCACGTGTAAAGCCGTCGGAAGATCAGCGTGGCCTCGACGCCGTTCACGCGCCGACTGAAGCCGCCAAGGTACTCAGCTGCCATGACCCCGAGGTCTGTGCCAGAGGCCGCCTGCAGCGGCGGACAGAATCTCGCAGCGTGTAACGGCACCGACGCGATGCTCGACTCCCTCTCCGTGCCAAGCTCGTGTCGGGAAGAGGTGGGCGCTCTGCTGGCCACCTGCTCGGTCAGCGAGCATGGCCTGCACGTCTGTCCGGCGACCGAGGGCGAGCAGTACGCCGCCGCGCTCTCCTCGTGCTCGTACGGCCTGCTTGCGTTGTCGCTGGTGATCGGTGTCGGCGTAAATACGATCTCGTCGATGACGCTGTCCCGCTCAAAAAACCTGAACACACTGTGCAACCGGCTGCTGCTGTTGTACTGCGCGTTAGATGCGGTGCTATCTGCCGTGTTTCCCATCATCCAGCTGTTCTCGAAGGCAGTGAAGGAATCGATGTGGTCCGCCGAGCTAGAGCACCTGGTGAGCCTCCTGTGCGCCCCGCGGCGCGTTCTTCTGGAGGCATCAACCATCCTTCGGTTCAATTTTCGTTCTGACGATCGGTTGCCTCCGCTACCTGATCGTATGTCACAATCGCAACCTAATGCCAACACTGAAGAACACGTTGATTGTCTTCCTTCCCGGACTGCTGGTACTACTGATCAGAATCGCCACCAACATGGCTCAGGTGCAGGTCCATTGCTCACGTCCCTACGCTATCACTACTACCAGATTCTTTGTGGTGTCTTCGACGTACAACACCGACGTCCAAACGTCCAGCATGAGCAATATGATCAGGAGTGTCATGATATTCGGCGGTATGGCGGCCCTCCTCTTATTTTACGGGTCCATCGCGGTCAAGGCGATTGGAGCACGCCTGACGGTACGACGCGCGATTGCTCGCCAGGGTCACAGGGTCACCCGCACACGAGGTCATGCAGAGCCGCACGACGTAACGATCGACTCTACGACCGTCAGGCGAACGTTGCCGTCATTAGCCATGGCACGAAACGTCCGCGAAAATGGCACCGAGGCCGGCGGCAGTGCTGAGCAGATTACCCCCAGTGTCCTCGAGTCGGATTCGTCGCAGTGGCGTCGGTTACCACCGGTGCTGCTAGTCCAAGACGAAAGGCACATTGAAGGGGCAGATGGCATGATCTTGGGTCCCACTCATTTGCAAGAGGTTTGCTCGGGTACATCTTCAGAAAATTTAAGCAGGATTGGGCCCATGGAAGCCTTAGCTGAGGAGCGTAGTGTATGTGGCGTTGCTCTGCACTCCGAGGGGGCTTCCGCAAGCGCTTCTAATCAGATGGGGGGTGAAGTTTCGACGCAAGCTAGTCAATCAAGCAGCCGCCCACAACAGTTCGGTGCGCTCCTCACGGTTCCCGCCCACAGAAGTGCCGCCAAACCAGTCCGAGGGCTGAACAAGGCCTCTCCCCAAGACATCCCAGCAACGCAGCCGGTGGCCGCTCAGCGCGCTACAAATCGCAACCTCGAAGTGATGACCACGGTCTCCCTGGTGGTCCACCTGCTAATCTTCTTGCTGAGCTTTCTTCCAACCATGCTGGTGCTGCTACTGCTGCAGGATCCGCTCATCTGCTTCCAGACGCCGCTGCAGCACCAGTTGCTCACCTTCCTGATGACGCTGATTTTCTTCGTACAAACCTCGCTGAACGCGCCGATAATGCTGTTATTCAGCAAAGAGTACCGCTCAGCTCTGGCCAGCCTGCTGCGCGACATGACCGGCTGTGGGCGGGGGCGCTAGCCCGGCTTCAGATGGTCGACCGTGGCAGCACGTGCGTCGTTCACAGGAGGTTCACAACTGCAACTCTGCTGCGACTGTCAGACACGCTGCACCGGCGCCAGGTGCTCCGGCCCAACAACCTCCGATGAAGCTGCTGCTACAGTGCGATTCTAGCTGGGGTCGAGGTATGGTGTTTACTTAATGCCTCCGGTACAACATCTCGCTAGGGAGGAGCGATGAGTCCTATTTGGCGGTGTCACGACATTAGTGCTAAGAGAAAACTAATGCCGATGAGAGTGCTGCACTACTAGATTACGCAATATTACTTCTACTACAAAAATTTTGCACCGACTTTTTTGCACAGGCCACAAATTACACCGTCATGTACTCATAGGCCAAGCCTCCCCCAAAAACTGACTGAGCGAACACATGGGAGCACATGTACGGACGAAATCAGACTAGTGGTACTCACTTCATGGCGTTGATTCATTAGTGTTGCTGCAAATATTGTGATTGCCATATCCACGATAACAATAGATGCGCGCGACATTTTTTGCACTGAAAAACGTCTTTTATAGTGCGTGGAGTTGCAAAACATGTTCGGAGTAAAGCAAACATGGGAGGGCTATCCAGGGAAAAACGGCCAAACCTGCTTCAAATGTGACAGTTAACTGTCACAGACAGAGATAGATGGGGTCCCGAACTGGTCAAAAAACTTCACCCCTGGTTTTGTGTTCACTTAATCGCGACATCACTTCTTCTGCAATGGCTTACGTAAGACAAGTGCTACAGAACAAAAATAATCCCGCCGAAACTAATACCAATACTCATAAAGGTTACAGCCGTCGGTAAGGTTCTGGTAGTAAAACTATAGCCTTTACGCTTACGCCAAACATGGCAAATCGACAAAATAGCAGAGAGCAACGAGCAAACATTTTCGGATTTGCGGCATAGACATTTAAATGCGGGAAGGGTTCTCTCATAAACTAGATTAGAAGGGCGCCTCAACTGTCTGCCGCCGCAAACTATTTTTACACTCCTACTAGATGGTCATGAACTTTTCACTCGATGACTGAGCATTGGCGGCCGAAGCACTGTCGGATGTGCGTAGAGTCTGCACACGTTTTCCGATAGAGGTGACAGCTATTCATTTTGAATTATAAGTTTTCACGTATAACCCTAACGTTGCGTGTAATTCGTTGCACGATGAATAATATCGTGCATAAAGAATAACTGTTAATTTTTGCAGTGGAGGTATGACTGCTGTCACTTTTTTAAAAGTATATGTCGTGCAGCGGAGCACTTGCGTTGAGTACAAGCATTAGCGGTAGATGTAATGTTGTAGCCTCCTCGTCGGCACCAGCTTTTATTGTAGCACTTATGTCGTGGAACCCTATTTGGCAGAGCAGCTTGGGTTGTACAGAGCACCTGACTCCGTTCTAATGCCTCGTTTAGGCTACGATTATCGCGGAGCAATGCTCTATCCCAATAGCCCCCCCCCCCCCCCTTAGAGCGCGCTGAACCTTCTGTGGACATTCCGAGAGCAGTACGTCGTCTGGTTAGCGTGGTCATAGGGTCTTTTCTAAGCAGAGCCACAACGTGGGTGTAAGTTCCACACAACTTCTGTCAGCTGGGCACTCAGCCGTATCTCAGCTTTTCACTTGTCAGAAAACAGGATAACTTAATCGCGATTTGATTATGCGTGAAAAGCAATGTTCCATATTTGAAGATTTTGAAGCAAGCAACAGATGAGATGAATGAAGCTCACTTATACAATCGGCATGGTTTTAAGTGGCACAAATAGCCCCAGACAACGTAATTTTGCTGTTTAGTAAATTTACTACTTAATGCGCCATTGTTTACTTACGTCATCGTACCTCGTACAATATTCATTGAAAGACAATTGATGACCGTTATGTCTGGAAATCGTGCTCACGAACGCCAGATAAGAACAACTCGATGATTATATTTTTGCTGGTCCTGATCACGGTATGGAATGGAATGTGGATTGGGTATGGAATGACAAGATTTGAATGAGGTCATCATGGCGTCATGTATGCCTGGATGACCCCGAAATAGTCTCCCAAAATAGTCTGCGCATATTGGTAGTGTGTAGCCCAGACACTAGAGGGGTTTAGGTCTTAAGAACGGCACATATTTAAACTGCGCCGAATGATGTTCAGGACCTATGGATCTACACCAGTCACATCAAGAAGACGGCGTTTGAGAAGATTTTCAAAGTGCGTCAGATTTGTGTCGTTAATATCTAGTGTGTGACACTAAACATGCCCAATCTGGCCACAAAGTCACAATTTTACCAATCTTAGTACGCGCTCTAGTGTCGGTCGGTCAAATTTACACACACACACGCACACACACACACACACACACACACACACACACACACACACACACACACACACACACACACACACACACACACACACACACACACACACACACACACACACACGCACACGCACACGCACACGCACACGCACACGCACACACACACGCGCACACACGCACACACACACGCACGCACGTACGCACGCACGCACGCACGCACGCACGCACGCACGCACGCACGCACGCATCTCCAAACGTTTTTATAAAATGGTTTGGGAACGGCGCGGTGTAGCCGCACCAAACTTTGTATAGCTGTGGAGAATTAAAAAGCAAATCTTTGGATGTAAAAAGAAGATGTACCTTGTAGGGTCGCTGGCCTATAACCGGCCAGAGGCAGGCCATGGCAGTCGGCGAGGGGTAGTCCCAAGAAATGGTTCCAAGGCATGCAGCAACAGAGTGTTAGCCGAAGGCATACATATTTGAAATAGTTTCGCAAGCATACGACCAATTAAAGTTAGAATTGCAATGAATTAGGTGACGTGGGGTCAGGGATGAAGGTCAGATTGAGGCCAAAACTGAGCTGCTTTTTTTTCGAGACCTTGGCTTGCGGGGTAGTTTATGTTGCTCATTTCAAATTCATTGATAACGGGGCTGGAATAGACGTGTTCTGTGATCTTTTAAGGGCGGTGTAGGTCACCGACCTCGAATAACCCAGGTCAACATCTTGTTTTTAGAGATATATGGCCTACCTTAATCCTTGGCGCTTACCCGTATGGCAAAATAGGAGCAATCTCGTGTGTATTTCATTGTCTTGACCTTACAAAGATCAAAAAAGGTGCTGACCTTAATTGCACACCATTGACCAGTTTGCTCAGAATTGGCATCTAGGTTTACGGCCGTTCCATGAGGAGGCTTAGGGATACTTGAGGTACCAATCTGTAGTTTGACTTTGATTGACCTCATTTCCCCCCAAGTCCGTGACCTAGGAAACTCAAATTTGGACACAAGTGAAATGGC